TGGTGCACCCGTTGCACCTGCCTCGTTACGGCACTGTGTTGGCCTTATCATTTTACCCGGTCCTACCCGTATCCGAAGTTAAATTAGTTCGGCCGATCTGAGTCAAACACTACATTAGCCCGATTCGGCCCAAACAGAAAGCATCCTAGGAGAAAAATAATCAAACTACCTTCTAAACAGAGAAAATTGGTCATTTGTTTACATTGCTAGAAACTGTTGACCACTTTTATTAATCTTAATGCTGAACTATAGAAATGCAGTTATTAGTTTTATACCTAGCTACCAAAGCGATGATTGTAGTCTTAATTGTCGCATTCCCGGACCAAATTCACACGTCCTCGATCTAGATCAGGGAAGGTGGGAGAGAGAACAACCGGGGAGAGTTCGACTGTCACCTTACAGCGAGTTCAAAGCACATTAGACCAAAATTTACGGGACCGTCACTAAATATTTCTGAAAACGCATTTCAAAAATTAAGCAGTATTTTATACAGTTTCATCCAGTAGCTACTCAACACAATATCATTTCAGAATTGCAACATTTTAAATCGCCATGAAATATTTTAAAGGAAAATGTCAAAGAAACTTTTATAAAACTAAACGAAAATGAACATTCTACTGATGATGAAGTAGAAACTAATAAAGATGCGATTTTATCCTCTTACTGCATTGCTTGCAAAAATTGCTCTATTTGTTGTTATAATACTGTATATTATTCAGATATAACATGTTAAGTGGCGCTTATTCTATACTTGGTCAAGCATACAAATATCTGCTATCTATGTCTGTAACACAAGTGTCCGGTGAACAAAGTTTTTCTATGTTAAAATTAATTAAAAGCAGGCTAAGGTACTTATAAGTATCTCGCAAGAAAATCTAGAAGCCTTCGTGTTAACGTCAGTGGAGAAGGATTTTTTAAACGAAATACATTCTGATGATGTCATTAATATTATTGTTCAACAAAGCAAACTTCTAAATAAAAAATTAATATTGTAGAATATAGACTTGTGCTTATTGTAATTTTTGTCAATGTTGTATTTTGAATATACAGTAGAACCCCTCTAGTCCGCCCTCGGCTAGTTCGTCACTCCGGTTAATCCGACGTGGTCGGAGTCGAGAAACTTGTCCCGACTCGTCGGTGACTCACCGTCCATGGCGTTTTTCTGTGTTCGTTACAGTATATGTTTTACATTGTGTGTACATGTACAGTTGTGTGTGTGTTTTCAGCATGTCAGGAGTGAAACGTAAACACGTTACTCTTTCATTAAATGAAAAATTAGCAGTGCTACAAAAACTGGACAAAGGGGAAGATTGTTTATTTTACTTTTTTCTGATAATCCGACCTTTTTTGCGTTCCGACCATACCCCCAGTCCCAAAGGTGACGGATTAGAGGGGTTCTACTGTATTTAAATATAAATAGAAAAAATACATTTTTTTTTATTTGTGAGCTGGGCTGGTAATAAATTTTTCACACAAAAATTTTATGGCCAGTTTGCCCCTGAACGTCGATGAACATTTCGTTGAGATTTTTCTACTTTCATTTGTGATCTGTTGAGTTAAATACTATTGTTTATAAAAAAAAAATGTAACATACATAAACGTGTAATGTTATATTGAGTGTACAGTTTTTCATAAATATAAATAAGTTGCAAGTCCCAAAGTGTATTAAATAAGACTACTTTTATTTATTGTCAGTTCGTATCATATCTATAATCGTTCGTTGAATGCCATTAAACTGCCATTTAAAATACAACAAAATAACAATTTTTATTCATGTTTTTAAATTATTTGATGTAAAATAAAGTGCGTGTTCTCGATTTTAGTAGTGTCTTGCACCTGTTTGTTATACTTTTCCTGATAACAGCAGACTGTAACTCAGTTTTTGGGCAATTTTTGAACTGAAATCACGTGAATTCCGGAAAAGACCGGAAGTTCGTACGTAGTTAATTGGGTTCTTCTGCCCCTAAGGTTTCCGTATCTGGTCTGAATTTTCAAGTATCTAATTTTGTTCTTCAGAATAATTTGGGGTATATACAATACTGAAAACGTTATAGATTCCCGTTATATTTTTATATGAAAAATACTTAAAACATTGCTGTGCAAAACATTATTATTATTTGTTATGCCCGCTTGTGCGCTTTACACCTTTGTACCTTTATGCTCCTACACAATACAGACGACGGGACATTAATTAATATTATCGTTATCATTTCTTGCTTTCTTCACGCTAAAAATCTTATATATACATGCACAACTAGTAGTATTAGTAATGAGGAAATTGCCGCAGGGAAGTTTTCGGTCCCTAATTTATTATGTTACTGTGAAAGACCGATATCTGGCAAATGTCGAGATTCTCTGGTGAATGTCAGCATTCACACAGTCGTTTCGTGTATGTACGAAATATTTGCTAAATATCATTATTTCTCACTTACACCGGCAAATGTCGACATTCAGCATGCACCGATGGTGAATGTTGAATAAAAATATCTTTATTACGTTAAGACAAAAATGCAACTCGTTAATATGTCAAAATAGCAGAAAGCTTAATTAACAGCGCATGTAAATAAACTGTTGAACCTAAAACGAACAGTACATTTTGAATCATTAAAGAAAATAATACAATAATAAACTTACACATAAATTATGTGATTAACATTATATAATCTTATTTATTGCAACAACTTAAACTGTTATGGCATTTTGAGTCTCTCGCTTTTACAACTGCATTTATTTATTCGTGGAACACTTCTTTTTGTAATGACGGCGTGTATAGCTTACCCTCCTTTTTTCGAATTAGCTGCAGCTGCTTCTCTCAGCGATATTTCTCGAGAAGAAATCTCGTCTATGAAAAGTAACTCTTATTTAAAAATTACGAACTGATTACGTGATTACAAACTGATCCTGTTAATGGTGTCTTTTATTCGGATATCGCCGACCCCTCTCATCCTCCGCCACTCGGCCTGACAAAACCACCTCACGGGATCAAAAGAACAAAAACGCCATCCAGTGACAAAGTGGGCGGTTTCCACCAAACCGTTGCCGAAAAAAGAGGTATGACCTTGTCCTACCTCCGTCTACCCACGAAGTATTTGGCAACAGACTATCGCCTCTCTGTCGACATTGGCTTCTCGGGTGTCGTTTCGACCTCCACCAAAGCTTATCTGTGCTTGTCGACATACACCGGCGATTGTTCGAATGTATAATAATATAACCAAATTTTGTTTGGTTCGATGTCACGACTTGGTGAAGTTTCAATCCAGATTTAAATCGGATCCCACAGTCAACTAAATCTAGAAGTCATCTAGAGAAGGGACATGAGATCGGGGAAATTACTGATCTATAATCATAGTCCGCTGTTTAGGATAGCGATAGGGCATTCTTTCAATTACATTTGTAAACTAAGAGAGAGAGAGAGAGAGAGAGAGCAATTAGTTGCGACATTTTGTAACCCATATATCTTCTCACTCCGTTAGAGAAAAACTGGGAACGAACTGATTTTTTTTTTAACTATGGAAGTGAACTTTGTGCAGCAAATCCTTAATAGAGACTGATGTCGATTCTACTCGCATCGAGCACCTAACCTACATCGAATGACTTTGAACTGGTGTTGAATTTCTGAACTGTCAACAGACGGTGAATCATCAGCAAGGAAACTGTGACAGTAGGTCAACAACTCGTTACCATTGTAAATCGCGTCTGTAGTGCGGATAGCACATGTAACGCGTCAACCAATAACCCTTGTTACAAGAAGAGAATTTTTTTTTTTGTCGGGTCAAAATCCCAGGTCAAAGAGAGAGAGTATTCTAAAAGAAAGCGGTGAATGGTGTGAAATCCGTGAATTTAACGCAATTGTCGGAGAAAAAAAATGTAAACAACTCCGAAAGAAAAAACACTCCTGGTGAGAATTAGATCGGAGGTCACCTTTTGTTATAACAATTAGATGGGAAAGTTGACACGTGTCAAGAATGCACCGTTATTGTCAACATGTGACGATCATGTGACTCCTTTCCCACGACAACTGAATAAAAGCTCGAGCACTCCCAAGCTCAGCGCACGTCCGCACACGGAAGTTATTTCTGCACTTGTGCCAGTCGATCTCCATGCAAAGGAATTGGATCCCATCGGAGAAGACACCAAGGACTACTACCTCTTCCATACAGACGATGCGCCAACTCTCCATTACTCTGAGAAGTATTTAGGGGATATAGAACTTGTAAAATCGCTTTCTCTCGCCCCAAAAGTAGGTCAGCGACATTGATTCGAGATTAGTCGCCCATTTTATGTACAGTAAATATCAATAGTACAGTATAATCGCCTTAATATGATTTTCGCCTCCTGTAACTTAGATTTAGTTATTCAATAAATGCTTTGTTTATTTGTTAAACCTGTCTCCTGTCGTTGAAAGGACGCCTGCCGGCTTACCTTCGCACTCCTCACTCACTTTTTGCCCTCATAGAAATCCGAAAACTCCGAGACTGGGTTTTACCAACCTGTGCAGGAAAGTGGTCAGGAGGGATTAACCCCTGACCCTCTGCTTGTCTCACAAATCGTAACAGATAAAGGAAATGATTTTTGCAGCGAATGTAGCAACTCAAAAAAATTCTTTTGTGCAAAGCTGTGGGCATCCAACAAAATTTAGTAAATTTTCTCATAGACACCTTCAGTAGCACAAAAAATATTCAAACTTCAATTGATTTCTTGCAAGTTTTTCAAGCATAACTTTATGAACGCATTATTTTATTTCTCCTATCTGATGTTTCAATACTGCAATATCGGTAACCTTTCCAGATATCCAGGGGCAGATCTACATGGGGACTAATAGGGCATAAGCCCTGGGACCCCAAGTGTCAAGGGCCACAAAAATTGAATTATCATCAATTTTTACTTGCATATACCCTGTTCCTTTAAGTAACCTCCCCAAAATAAATCCAAAGGTGTGAAGCCATGAAATAAGACTACTTCAATTATCCATCAACCAAAAAAATCTAAGAATTACTCACATGTAATCCCAGTAGAGTGATAATCCATATTTCTGGAAAAACAGATTGGGTTGTGTTCCTTCTGACTGAAAAATACCTAAATTCACGTTTTTTCAGATTCCAACTGTGTGGGTTAATTTTGTAAAACACATCAAAATGTGGCTTTGTTGCAAAAGATATTGTCCGGCAACAGATGTGCCTCTGAATATAGTCAAGAATATTAACTGTAAATTTCAAAAAAATAAATATACAAGTCTGACCAGACGAACTTATCACAACACACTTTAAACATTGGCTATCCATGTAAAAAAATTAAAATATTTATTTTATGACTTACTGCTTTGTAGTATTACTCTTTATAAATACATGTTGTTTTGTTTTATGGTAAAAATCAGAAGATTTTAAATTAATTATCTCATTATATATATAGAACAAATTTATATTGCACTAATCAATTCATTCATATAAATAAATTAAAAATACATATTCAATGAACAATTCCATTCATTTGTCTACAAGATTTTTACAAAATTTATATATACACAATATATAAAAGACAGATTAAAATGATTATTTACAGATGAAACTTTACATCTGGAATGAGAAATATTAAAACACTATAGTTCTATAATTAATTATTCTTCTAAAAGTATATCTTGTATTTTTGCCAGGGAGATTGCTGATCCACAGTACGATTTCTCGTCCAAACAATAACTGATTAATTCCCTCCAGTGTTTATCCTACCAACACAAATAAGCAATTGTTAAAGTTTTAAAAACCAAATTGATAAATAAACTAAAGAAATTACTTACATTAGATAGGAGATACGGATCTCCAACAATAATGAGCAGGGCTTGTGCTCGAGTGATTGCAACATTAAACCTTTTCGGATTTGTCAGAAAACCTAAGTTGTGTCTGGCGTCAAAGTTCAGCTGATCTTCTGAAGTTCGAACCTAAGGCATTAAAAGTTAATATACACAAAAAGGACACTCTACATTAAAATTAATCATACAACAAGAAAATAATTACCGTAGAAATAATTATAACTAATCTCTCCTGGCCTTGAAATTCTTCTACAGAACCCACTTTGCACATTTCAATTCCATTCATGCTCATCATAAATTTGATTTTTTCCACCTAAAATAAGGTGATATTAAACAGTTTAGGCAAATTTCTTGATACAAAACTTTTCTTTAGTTATTGTATTAATTAATATATGTAATGACCTTAATAAATACAAATTATGTCTTGATTTTAACACTATAGAAACTTTATAGAAATCTTGTGTCTGCTGGTTGAAAACCAGCAGACACAAGATTTCTATCTTGTGTCTGCTGGTTGAAAACCAGCAGACACAAGATCTTTTTTTTTTTTATAACAATTTGCATTGGTCCAAATATGATTACCCTGTAAATAATTCATTGTAATTCCATCATCAAGTTAAAATTTCTAGGTAATATTTAAAAATCAATATATGGAAAATTTAAATCAAATGATACCATATTATAGAACTAGCTGTTACCCACAACTTTGCCCGTGCAGATTTTGCAAGCAAACACCATTTATATTTGGTATTTCAACAACCATAGTAATTGTTATATAACACCTACCGCTGAGAATCAAATGAACTGTTTTCAATTTAATCAATTTTCTGGAACATTTACAATCGTTCTATAATCGAACCAATATGCAATAATAAATTTGAATTTAAAACGGTTTGAATATTTGGTTAAAAAATCTAAATACATAAAAATATTTGTAACAATGTCTGAAATGTTATCAATTTAATACAACTAAGTACTCAATGAAGACCAAACGTAGTTGAAAACAAAAAATTGCATCTAAAATAGTACAGTAGAAGCCATTCTTCAGGTTAAGCCTTAATCCTTTCCCTCTCCTCTGCAGAGGGAATTTCAAAAAAATCCCTTCTTAGTGTGCATTTTCATGACGTACCCTAACTGTGTACCAAATTTCACCTCTTTAGGTTTAGCAGTTTGCAGGTTTGGGTGATGATGAATCAATCACTCGGAACAAGTAATTTTATATATTTAGATAAATAAGACAAATATTAAAGTTGCCTTATATTTACAGGGTTTCTAATAAATATTTTAAATTAATTTACATATATTTAATATGACAATCTTGTCATATGCTTCAATTACCACTGTCTATCAGAGGACAATAAAAACAAATTGGAAACAAGTGGAAACTGAAGTACATGACAAGATTGTCATATTAAATATATGTAAATGTAAACATTAACCAAAACCCGATGCTTAGCAAATAGACACCCATGATTGCTGTAAATAATCAGGCTATAAAATTTGGAAATATTAATTATGAATTATAGTGCCAAATTTATTTGTAATTCATAACTAATATTTCCAAATTATAGCCTGATTATTTACAGCAATCGTGGGTGTCTATTTAATAAATATATGTAAATTTATTGATAACATAAATTGAGTAATTCTTCTTATCATACTACCATAGGTTTATACCTCTTCAGATTATTTCCAACATACCTGCTTGCGATATGGAGTGATGATACCAATGTCATCCGGTGAAATTCCCAGGCTATACAAATTTTTTAAATATTTAACCACACACAGAACTTCATACGGATTAAACCAAGAAGGGCTGTCACCTTCCCGAAAGTTTTCACCCTATTCATACGAAAACTTTTAGAATTCTGAATATAAAATAATTTTTAACAACAACTTCGACTTACCCTGATTCCACAGAATATCATTGGAAATGACCTGTTTGGTAATTCTTCCCAATTGCAAAATGTATTTTGTAAACTTTCAGGAGCAGAACAGACAAGTTCGGAGTCATAGAAAATTCGTGATGATAACGAAATAATGCAAGAATGGGATCTATAATTATTTACAAGTTTAGTTACCTATAAAAACAAAAAAGTAAAAATTATAAATGTGAGCCCTTGGTGTAATTTAACATTGTGAATTACAAAACTAACTATCATACTAGTAATGGATTATAGTTTCCTTGTTCTCGATACTTTTCTGGATTTCTCTGATACAGAGAAAGAGCCATTATCCTTTCTAGAAATGAAACCTTAAGTCCATTTTCTTTAGAGTGGGAAGAGCGTATGACCGGTCCGAGCTGCTGAGGATCTCCAGCTAGGACAACCTTGAAAATTATAAAAACAAATACATTTGTCATTATGACCCACCAATATTTGTAATAAAAAAACTACAAGGAATCCTGCAGTTCCTTTGCCATATCATAGAAAAGCCTGGTTACCTGTCCATTGCCTGTTGCAACTAATTCAATTGCTAACATCGATTCTGGTTCAGTAGCCTGTCCGGCCTACAAATAAGAAAATAAACAATATGTAAACTCATTTTGTGCAAACAGAAAACACTTATTGTTTATTTCACAGATTATAAGTGTCATTAAATAAGTAATAAAAAACTCTAATTACCTCATCTAAAAATAAATGAGTGAAATGGTCTACTCTCAAACCTAGACTATAAAAGTTTCCAGCAGTTATACAAGTACAAACAATAATACGATAACGAGAAATTGTAGACATATCATCTACTTTTTTACAGAATGGTTTAATGAGATCGGGAAGAACCTGAAAGTAATCATCATCATTAAAAGATGCTACAGCATAATCATTATTCAAATAAACAATGAGAAACCTCATCAGATATATGGAAGGCATTGAGTCTAACAAGGTCAGCTTCAGTGAATAAGTTACTTTCTGCCAAGCGTTGAACCTAATATTTTAACATGTAGAAAATCAATTATATAAAGGTTTTTTATATAAATTTTACTTTTTGAAATTAATCTTTCACTTACGATTAAATCTGCAGCACTATTAGATGGAGTACAGGCTAAAATTCTACTAGAGTTTACACGACCGAATATTTGAATAATACACTCTACAACAGTCATCGTTTTACCCGTTCCCGGAGGTCCAAATATAACGTAAGGCATGGGTCGGCAAGTTCCGTCCAACACTCTTTTCACTGCAATTTTCTGTCGATCGTTCAGAGACTTGTTATGCCACTTAATTGTCACCGACTTTCTGTTATTTGGCAACTGGACTTCCATCTTTACCACGGGACAGCAGAATGTGGCATTACGGTTACAAGGAAAGAAATTTGCATTTTTGTATTTGTTAAATTCTGACTCTTCCTTCTTTTCCGATTCTTCTTTCTGTGTATGAAAAATTGCAGGCGTTGATGCCTCCACTTCCACAAGATGAACTTGAGGTGTTTTACATACTATTTTATTTGGAAAGAGAACTAAGAAAAAAAATCAATAACAATTACAATAATATAGATCTTCACAATTTCCTTCCCCAATGAAACATACCACTCACCATTTTCAGGAAGGTTTAATGCCTCTTCAATAGCCTGATGACATCTTCTCATGGGCAGTCTGAAATTTGGAATAATTCATCACACAATTAATATTAACACACTTTTTGGGCTGCAATTTGAAAAATTGTAGACCTATAAATGTCCATTGTCATCTATGTCTGTCCTTCCTAAATCTTGAGAATGGAGTTAGATACAAAGAAATTGCTGCATGTACAAACAAGAGAATTGCTTATAAGAGTTAGATACATTAAAGACAACATAAGATATAGCAAGCTTAGGAGCAGTAGGCCTCAATTAACTATATATAAACTTCCAGTTTGCACCAGAAGTCATGTTATTTCAATTCAAAAGTTATTCCCTGAAAGGAGTTAGATAGATGACTGGCATGACTCTATTGCTAGCAGGAAAAGTATGATGTACGGAGGGAAGACACTACTAATTTGATATTGACAGCATATATTTTAAATTAAATAAATTCAAAATGATTAATAATTCAGCTTGGCATTGTGATGATGTCACAATAAATACTTGCTCGTTTTTTTTCACTTCTTTTTATTCTTTCTGCCTATGGACACTAATAAGGCTTTTTTTCATGCCAATTATAGGTCTGACCAGGTTCTTGGATGGTTGGCAAGGGACAAGGTCCAACTATGAAAATTTGTGAATCTAATACAAACCCAATTCCCTAAAATCAGCAACTAATGCCATTACTGCTTTGGCCAACTGGCATTAGTACATTAGCATATACTACAGTCATACCTGTCTGTAATGAAACTTGTATATAACAAACACCTGTCGTTAACTGAACAGTTTTTCGTTTCTTTGAATTTTGTGCAAAAAGTCAATATGAATTAACCTGTGTAATGCAGAAACAGAAAGGAAAATCAGGCTGTATAACAGAAAATTTGGTATCCTCTTCCATGCTCAATAGAAAGTTTTTGCATGTATTTTTATTAGTTATAATTAAAATCTATGTTAAGTAAAGACAACAGTTGTGAAATTTAACTCATTATTGCAAATGTAAAATTGTATTCTTCGTGGAGAAGACTATTTTAAATTTTCTACATTTCATTTTGTTTCAATAAAGTAGAGTTGCAATGTCTGCAGATAAAATGCATATTGGGCATATTATACTTTTTAAGCATCATAAAAGATATAATGCTATATAAACAGTAAAAAATTCTCATAGTGTGAATGGAGAAGATGTTCCTGAACTTCAAACATGTCAAATGTGATTTTGACAATTTAATTCAGGAAATTTTAAACTAAAGGATACAAAACATACTGGCTGCCCAAAAGCTGTTGACAAAGAGAAATTGCAGGAAGTAATTGTTAAAAATTGATGAATAATAATTTATGAACTTGTAGCAAATCTTAGTGTGTCACAGACACATATTGTTGAAACACTTCATCCACTTAAAATGGTTGTAAAATACAATGATGATTGTGTTCCGCATGCATGAAGTAAAAAAACGAACCACATCGAGTATAAGTTTGTTTGCTGAAGGTAGACAGCTATAAGATTTTCTTTTATTTTTAAATCAGTTACTCATTTTTATCATAGAAAACTTTTTTTATGGATGAAAAAATTAAAATAAAAATATTTATTATTAACTGAAAATTTGTTCTAGCAGGTGGCGAGTGTTCTATCAAGTACCAAGGCATCACTGTATTTGATTAACATGATTTTGATGTATGTGGTAGCATAATTAACTGCATTAATCAAAATATACCTGTAGTAGGTAATCTGTCTACTACAAAAGACTTGATCAGTCCCATGAGATTTCATTACAGATAGGTTCAACTGTAATAATAATAATAATAATAATAATAATAATAATAATAATAATTGAATACATGCCATATTGTTAGGAAATTCCTGAATACAAACACTAACACTGAAACACTTATTTAATTTTAGTTTTGTTTTGGTTGCTATGCCTTGACTCTGGTCCGGCATAGTACACAGCCACCGGTGTCAACCGAGTATAATCCACTAAACCCAACATAATAATAATAATATCTCACCTGTTAAAATGAAAATCTACATCATAACTTTCTCCGTTATATTTACTATGAAAAATGCTATTGAATTTGACAAATATCTTTTCTTTATGAATCTGAAATAGACAGACAGACAAATTTCAAATTAAGTTTATTTATTCCATATATATGTATTAAAGACAAAAATTATACTTTGGTATCAAATTCTGTATATAAATTAATATTTATTTATTTAAACATAAGCTTAAAATTTACTTTAAGTGACATTCTTTGTACCTCAAAATCTTTTAACACATAATAATGGTAACAAAAACAGCCTGCTTCGGTTCCATATCAAACTATTAATTTTCTATTTCTAATACACAAATTTCTTATAAGTTTTTGATACCATAGCACATACCTCATGAATAAATCCTTCGTATACAGGGTTGGATTTCTCTACTGGGTCACTGGCTGTAATTCTGTCACCTATCAACAGTGACGGCCTGTTTTCTGCCAGTCCTGGTACCTCTAATGTTAAATAGTCTTTGCAAGGTTGAAAACAAACCTAAGGATGCCAAAAAATGTTATTTCCAAAGTCAATTTTAAAATTGGTGTTACTGTTTATCAAACAACATCATACCTGATCCATACTAAAGTCTTTCATGTCAATATTCATTTGTATTTCTTCAAGATAAAGCAGTGTGTGAAATTTCTCTTTATAATTTGTTACAGATAACTCCTAATTTTTTAAATAAAATCAATTAATCACAAATAAATTAAAGTTAAATATGATTACATAATGTACAATATATTTTCATAACTAACCTCTGTGAGAAAGGATAAACTATGTGTGACATGTTTTTGTTCGAGGACAATGCTCCACAATTCTTCCGGAATGGGAAATTGCAGCAGTGTTCGAGAGAATCGACTTTTAACCCTGTTAAGCACAATGATTAATATCAAATGGTAATCAAATTCTCATGTAAAAATTAGACAGTATTATAAACCTCCAAGGTTTCTCTCCTGGGATCACACAATTGGAAGCTTCTCTACAATTTTTTAATCTATTAACAAGCATATATCTAGGTATAAAAAGTGCTTTAGGTAAAAGTGAATTCTGATTTGGATCTTCAACAATCACTTTCAGAATTCTTCCCAAGGTAAATTTTTCAAATTCAAAAAGCAGAAGCTGTTCAGTAAGACCTAGTTGACTATAGAAAAAAAATTTTTTTTATTAAACTTTTGTGTTAGATAATTAATGTAATTAATAATTCTATTAATATCATCAATATTTCATAAATCAATTGCCATAATATATTTAATAAGTTAACTAACCTTGCGATGCAGATTACATTCACATAAAACGACTTATTTGGAGAAATTAATACTGGATAGTTGGCTTCTTTTCCTTTACACTGTACTTTGCTCACATAAAATTGGTTAGTACCATAAGAATTTTCATTCAACCTGCACATTAGCAACTTGCAAGATGAAGTACCCGTATTACTGTAAAATTAAACCAATTTTAAATGTAGCCACAATAAAATAAATATACACAACCATATTCTTTAAAATGTTTGATTCACATACCTGATCCAAACTGTTAAATATTTGCTGTCACCCAAATTAATGGCACGAAAATCTACGTCGAAAGATATTTTTATTCCATTTTTGTCACAGAGTAATGAGCCAAAATGTTGGTTTGTCAACGATATAACATTCCTTTACAAAAATTTAAAATATTTCATAATTTGAATTCAACTTATAATGATAAATTAATCTAACATAATTTATTGTTTTATAAAAAGAGTTGAATTTTATGTCAGTGCATTTCTCAAACTGACTGAAATGCCAAATTTTCATATTCCTAATTGATATATATAATATAATTATAATAAAGAAAACCAATATGGCAACAATGCCTACATCACTCATCTTTCTAATCATGTTGCATTTTAATTAATGAATTCTTAACTCAGCCATATTGTAAAATTAATCATTTTGATATTTACAGCAACACAAAAAACTGTTTGCATACTTTTAGTTTTTACTTTTTAAACTATAAAATCCAAATATACATGTAAATGTGAAAATTTTAATATATATTAACATCTGCATACTCTAAGCATTATTTGCACAACTTGGAACCAGTGCTGCTGCCTGCTTCTGCTGGAACTACCCTGACGGAGCCTTCGTTTTACCCCAAATTACCCTAGATTTTGAAAACTCTCCGAGCTCGAGCCCGGAGAGTTTTCAAAATCTAGGGTAATCTGGGAAAAATAAGATGAACGATTCTATGACGCAGATCCCTGTACTATTATCGTAAAATAATAATAATAATAATTCTTAATTCTTCGTTTTTAAACTAAAATGTCTTAGAATTTTTACGCTTTATCAGAGGTATTAATTTACATCTGATATGGAGATAATTAATGTTTTAGTTTGGTAACAATTTGAAAAACAAGAAAACTCTCGCCTGGTCTTTAAATAATCATAAAATATATCTTTAAGTCTAATGAATGCAATTATTTAACTTAATTTTAATTAATTCACTTTCAATATGTGTATGTTAGCTGAAGATAAAAAATTAAATAAGCTATTCACTTGATCTCAAACATATTTTAATACGTAAATGATCAGTTTTAAAAATTCATTTCTTTACATATATATTTGCATTTTAACATTCGTTTTGAAAGTTCAAATGAAACAATATGTTTTTCAATACTGGACTTTATGCATTAGGTTACAAATCATTTCAGTTTTCAAAGAATGTCTGTGCAATGTCTTACATAAATGCAGATGATTAAATATTCGCTCAACAGATGCATTGGAAGCTGGTAATATCATCAATAAAGTCAACAATTTTTCAAGATTTTGAAACAAACTCTCCAGTAGCATTTTTAAATAAAATATTTCTGACCAGTAGAATCTGACAGTATGACATTTTGACCCCAAAAGTAGGGCTTGTTTACACCATTTATTGCCTACAACTTGTAAATCAACCTTAACATTTTTAAACTATTGCTCCTAAGACCTCACTGTTAAATTTTGAACATTAGGTTAGGTTCAAGCAAAAGCAGATATGAAAAAAATGTCATTACTGAAATCAAATCTGGCATAAATTGCTTTTACGAGTATACAATAAAAACTTTTACAATAAAAGCATCAGATCACAGGGCAGTTTTACCGTAGATTTACCCTATATATAAGACTACCCTACCCTGAGAGGTTCAAATTACTCTAGAAAACGGCAGCACTGCTTGGAACATTAATCACTTGTGGTTAATACACAATATTAGGATTTGACAATCAGAAATTTGAGCATTTTCTTTCTGTTCAAAAACATCATTTTCAAAAGATATAAAACTATTTTAAAATAAACAACTCTATGCAAACCTGATACATTATAAACATAAAGCCAACCACTGTCATATTCCATCGGGCTATATAATGGCTACATTAATAATAAATTACCAAACAATTGTGGGTTTGAATCCCGCTCTGGGCCAATTCTTTTCTTCCATTTTAAAAAATTGCCAGGACGAATTTACTTTTACAAAAATATATATTTCTTGAGACTACACATACAGGATAAGTCAATTTCATTTGGTCCCTTCATGCGTTGTTGAGTTAATAACAATTCCGTGGCAGAGTCAACCTTTTATTGTAGGCTACTCGTCTGCCATCCAATGCAATAAGGTTAAAATAGTCCTCTAGCAGTGGTACAATGATAAAATTACTAAATACATTTTAAAAAATTGCCGGGACAAATTTACTTTTACAAGAAAATATATTTCTTAAGACTATTTTAACTTTTTTGCATTGGATGGCAGATGAGTAGACTACAATAAAAGGTCAACTCTGCCATGGAATTGTTATTACTGCAACAGCGCATGAAGGGACCAAATGAAATTGACTCATCCTGTATGTATAGTTTCAAGAAATATATATTTTCTTCCAGTTTAATCTAAATTATTTAATTAAAATTATAATTACTAAATTTAGTACGAGATGGCTCCTAACACTTCCCTCTAGGGTCATACTGTTTGGTAATCTATTATTATTAATATAGCCATTAGGTTAAAAGATGTATTAAAATACAAATTAAAGAAAAAAACAGTTCTAATGATAAAACTATAACTAAAAAATAGCAGTTATAATTCTAACATTGAAAACTTTTTTTTATTAAATGTCACCCAAAATAAACTGTGCTAATGTCAGTATGATCAAATACAGTCGACCCCCCTATAACATGGGTTCCTATAGTTCAGATTCCTATATCATGGCAAAAAAATTGTGACAGTATTTGTACAAACATGCTGAAAAAACTCGCATAATTCAGTAAAACATCATCGCCGACTCGTGTCACGACAGGATTGGTCGAATCTAGACCAATAGTGGATATTGCAAAAACCGTTGAGTTTAAACGAGCAGTGGACCTACTAAAAACCAATTATTATTTAACATCCATAAAAAGTACATTTATATTAATGATGTCTCCAAAGTTCAGCGAATTTTTCGCAAAAAAAAATAATTTATCAGGAAGCACGCGAGTGCCATTCGATGACAAGCTCCACGATGAAAACAAGCTTAAGCAATGGCGTAGTCAAACAATGCATGCTCGGTAAGTAATCCTACAATTTTTTGTTTATATGGATTATTCTCAAAAAATTGTATGTATTTTGGAAATGTTGAGTTGAATTAGTCTAGAATCGATTAATTTTATGGAAGAAACCTTTCAAACAGTCATACTCCGTAAACTCCACACGTGCCGGGCTGTGATTGGCTGGACTCGTAGAAAATGGATTCATAAAAACCGAAACGTATCTACCGTGTTATAGGGAGGGTCGACTATATATTTCTGTTAACTGATGAAATTTTTTCATGGATTAGCAGTTGAAAAACACTGGTCTAGACAATTCATCTTTCATCTAAGATTGCATACCACTTATTAAAATATTTCATCTAAATTCACATAATATCGTCAACTTGTCTTAAAATGAGCATCAAAAAAACAAATTTTGCCACTGTCACAACATTAATTTTCATGTGATAAAATGAACAAAAATTTTACCAGAATTCATTAAACCAAACTGTAAATTACCTTTATAACCCCCAAGAAATAACCCTATTTTCAATAACAATTTTATTATTTATGTTGAAAAGTGTAAAAACAAAAAATGGTACTATAATAAATGTTCTAATTTGAGTAGAATAGATTTTCTTATCCAAGTAAGCAAAGACGGGTTTGGCCTTTGATTGTAGAGCAATTCAAACATCTGGTTTTAGTGGACCATTCTACTGTACTCAGAAAATAGGTGTTACAGTTTAATGACTCTTATCCATTTAAATAAATGGGTCCCATGCAAGAGGGTGCTACTTTGCATATTAGAGGTGCATACAGTGATGCATGTTTGACTATTCTGCCAATTCTTGCATCACTGTATGCACCCACAATATGCAAATAAAATAAAATAAAATACCAAATTTGCCTCCTCTTTATTACTCTTTTGGTGCCAAAAAATATTTCCTACTTTCCAAACAATCTTCAGCAGAAAAAAATCACAGATTTCTTCTAGCTTTGTTTTTGTCTGATATACTGCTCCACACTTAAATGGAAAATACTGTTTCTCCTCATTTTGATTGATTTGAAAATCATTTACATCATTAATTTGTTTTTTTAAATAAATTTAATTTATCTTTATTTAGTAAATTAACTCAAAATGTTATATAAATTAGAGATTTCAACTGCTTATTAATCCTTAAATTATACTACATTTACCTTGACCCTGAAAACATATTAATACATATTTTTGATAAAGCAAACTTACCCTAGTGATTCATATTAATGCAAGTTGACTGTACTTCAACAAAAATAAAAAAAAAAAAAACAAAATGTTCACTGTTGAGATACAACCCCTTGACCCCCACAAAATTTAAATAGTTTTTGTATTTTGGTTCAGAAAATTTTTCAACTAAAAGTTTATTTGTTTAGTTGATTTCTTAAAGTTTGAAACCAATTATCTTTCCATTTTGCTAAAAATAAATTTAATTGACAATACACTCTGACATTCAATTCTTTGAAGATGAAGCCAGAAAATTAGCATCACTGTTATCAAATTACCATCATGATTTATTAACTTATGAAATAGCATTACGTACATTAATATAAAAGTTAATCACATTTGCATCTCCTTTCAATTAGCCATAATTGAAGAGGCAGAATGACTACAAAATGACTTCAAAACATTCATTTTTAAAATTGATTGATTTATTGCTTTTTTACAAATATTTCTAAAAAATGAACAATATCTATTGGGTTGTTCGGAAAGTAA